TAAATCAGGATGGTCTCCGCCGGAGTTTTTAGCTTAAAATATCAAAGATGAATCAACGGAGACAAGCTATCCTCGTAATATTTTGTTTAAGTGAATTCGTTTCGTTAATAATTCCAAATGTTGCCAACATTTTCACAAAACGTAACTCTTCAAGAGGCATTTGAAACCGCCGCGCAGATAAACGAAGAGCTAAACTGGAACGGAATTCGATGGCGTATTTTGCAAACTTCTAATCGATAAATTTTATTCATTCTTTCGCTAAACGTAGTAAATCGGTAGAGAAAATGATCCATTAAAAGAAAAACAGTGGTCACCGAACGTCCAAGATCGTTAAATCCAGGCAAAGCTATAGCAACGGCCATCTTCCCTATCATTGTTCATTTTATTACTTAGCGCGCGCTCGATGCATGACGTGGCGTGTGAATTTGCGTGCGCAGTAAGGATCCGTAGGACGATACACACGAGGGGGTTTTCTCCTGGGTTTTTCTCCAGGGGCACGTTCCGGGAGCAAAGCTCCTCCTTGTGTACCAACGATTTCATGGGCTTAATTCATTCTCGGACGCAGAATTTCCACCCTGCAAAATGCTCCACAACATTTAACCGGTTAAATATTTGGGAGCAAGATCCCGGGGAAAATTGAACAAACTTTACTTGAAAACGCTCCCTTGTGTGTACCATAATATGGAGCAAGCTCCCGCACTATGCTCCCCACTCTGTACTAGTCGTGCAAATTGACCCTGGACCATGCTCCTGGAGCAAAACCCCTCGTGTATATCGGCCTTATCGGCCCTGGTCAAAGACGTTTAATGGTACAAAAAACATTTATTAGTTATATGTCTGAAGACATGAATGACAATGGAACCAAATTTAGCACACAGTTAGGCTTTCACGTACTGAACATTTTGAAGTAGAATTGGTGCTTCTGACAGGTCACGTAACATGCCACGTGGCGTTGAGCGGAGAATAGCCATTATTTGAGGAATTGGTGGCGGTTTTTAGTAATGTTGTCCCACAAAAACGCATTCTAGGTGCAGGTCAATTATTTCCATCCTCACGCGTTTGGAATGACCGTCTCTCTTATCGCAGAAACATTTTATAGGGTTAAAGGTCGTTTTTCTTAAAAAATTCGACTACTGATCATTTACATCTTCTAAAAACGAACCAAGGAAGATCATTCCAAACGTAGCAAGGTAGATAATTTTAAGTTAAAATTTTAAAAATAGTTACTAATCAAAATGGCCACAAATCTGTTACCTTTGTAATGTACAGCTTGATTTCATCGATAATTTGTTGGAAAACTGTTGTTAACCTCAACAGTTTTTATTCATTAAATTTGCAGAAAAGTTTGTCGGGCGTTGGTTAATTAGCGTTCGCACTGCAAATTTGCATCGATAACGCTCATTTATTGATCAATAAAATTAAATTTCGCCACCAATTTGCCGATTTACCAAATTTTAAGAAAATGATCACGATCTTAATTTTTGCATGCTTTTTTTCGGCTCACTGAACCTGCGTGAATTTTTTTTTCGGCAGTGGTCGTGTGCAGGAAGATAAGAATTAACAACCAAAAATTAAAGAGTGGGTAGATCACAGTAACCAGATCAATTTTAGCTCTTTGACTTGAAA